TATATATATACCGAATACATAAATTTTGTTGTTTTTTTACAGCTTTACACTATTAAACCCCTTGACATTAGCTAAATATATTCGATTTAGTTTAAAAATTTTGCTTGCATAAATACAGATCAATTTACCTGAGTGCGGTAATAGTGATCTTCCGAAGTCTTTCACTTGCTGGGGACTCTGGGCCTGGCTTTGGTAGGCTCCATGCTCAGGGCTCCACATTCTCCTTGGATGGTCACATGCTTCTTGTCTCTGGTGTCCACCTGCTGTCGCCTCTGAATGGGCTGAAGATGCCTGTGACTGCAGTAGATTCTCAATAAGAAAACTCTTTCCTGAGCTCCCGAAGCCCGGTAAAGCAGGAGGAGAGCCAGCCATATTCCTTCTGGTGCATCTCTGAACTGTGGCCATTCTGTTCACACAGTGACCCAAACACTTGAGTGCCCTCTTCAGCAGTCACAGCTCAGTGACACCAGATTCTCCTTTAATCCCTTCTTGAGTGACTAGGCCAACTTCATTAAACTCTGAAAAAAACAAAAGTTCTCTGCTCTTCCTTTTTTGGGCCTGCACTTTGCTACAGGGCTGTGTCGTGATTGGCTGAGAGGGTCTAATGTGCTTCTCAATTCAGATAAGGCTGGGGTCCATTCTGGAGTGGCAGAAGGTGGGTCTGACTCATTCATTATGTCAACTATCCTATTAAATGATAGACATCAGAGACAATGAACTGCTGGCCAAAGTTTAACATGCACCAACCAGTCTTCTCCAGTAGTAAATAGTTTTCTCTTTTCTTCTGCCTCCCTCAGAGCTTCATTGTGCCTCATATAAACTGCTCAGCAGTTCATTTGCAATGTGCTTTTTTCTTTTTCATATCAGCAGCATTGCTCAATTAGGGGTTTTCTTGAATGCAAAGGATTCAAAAACAGGCCTCGTAAATGTGGATAAATGTGGTTTGAAAAAGTAATGTAATCAAATTATAAGATGACATTTTACTCTATAAATTCATAATCAATGTATGAAGCCCATGAAAAGAAAACATTTTCTTAAAAATAACACCACTTGTTGCCACCTTACATTTATAAATAAGTTTCATAATCATTTTTCTAATGTTATATATTTTTATAAGAATTAACATAATTATTAATAGTTGCATATAACACTCATTTTGTTGTCATTTAGAAATCTTCAAAATGAAGCTTATAAAATGGAATGTTTATAATATGAAATGTTTAACCTCTAGAGTCCTGAGCTTTGGAAACCCAAGCTGTGCGGTCCTCATATGAGGACGCAGGGACTCTAGAGGTTAAGTGGGTGCAGCAGCGCTTCACATAATATTAAGACTGAAAGTTTTGACTTTGTCGCGATTTTACTATACTGGAACGGAATCATTGGATTTTTAAAAACACCACGTCATTGAAATATTTTTTTAAGAATTAAAGAAGCCTTCTAACCATTTCTTTTTCAAATTTGGAAACTTTTGAGATAATTTATATGCCATTTGTTGAAAAATGTTAATGTACATTTAGATGGGTTTAAGTCCTGGTAGGATGTAGATCAGCAGTGAAGAGATCCATGTGGCTCCACAGGCAGCATACTCAAGTATTTATTTAGTGCCAGTCTTTGGTGCAGTTTGGTCTTGTACTTCATATTTTACGTGCAACTGTACAATAGAAAATTGTCACAAAATGACACATTCATGTACTGATGTTTTGGTACAAACATGTCCAGTGAGTATAAGATTTCACATCGCAACTAATGATCCTCAACATTATAACAGAAATTCCAAGAAGAGAGGTGACAGATCTAGAGTTTAGGCACGGTAAACAGGCATATCCACACTGGTTGTGGGGTGCATGGGGGGGACGGCAGGGAGCAGCAGTCTGCGCGTGTAGATACCTCATGCTGAGCATGGAAATTGGCCCAGACAGCTCAGCCTATTGTGTGATGGCCAGGGAGCCAAAGGTTGCTTGTAATCAAATTTGAGGTTTTATTCCTCAGACTGGTGGAGAAGGCATAGTGCTCTGTCACATGATGAGTGTTAGCAAGTCTGTGTGCACTATCTACTTTTGTGTAGTGTGTTAAACATGCTCCATGTAGACCAGGGGCTGTGATACTCCCCCAAGACTTTTTGTGTGATGGAGTCATTTGTTTGACACATAGAAAACAGGAGAGAACCCCAGAGTGCTACTATTAACTGTATTTGTTTATACTTTGAAAGGATCCTGATTATGCTCAAGGTGTGTTTTATGCAATGTCATTGAGGATATCTGTTTAGTCTTTAAATTACCCTTTGAACAATACATGAGAATCTGTGGCAAGGTTAAAAGACATTACAAGCAACCTTAGCTGAACTGATGACACTCCTTAGAGCATTGTGCATTCCTGTTAAAATCACATACTTTTTGCGTTCATTGACATTGTAGGTAGTACCATTCTCACACCACCCTGTGTACATTTTAAAAGGCGTTGCTAAGAGTGTATCATCATTAAGATTCACCACTACGTAATTAGCCAGATTCCAATAGAGCTCTCCAGGAGAGGGAGGTATAATTAGGCTATTCTTAAAGTGTAGGCCTTGGAAACACTCTTAAGCAAGTTCATGTGAATTTATTTGATGTCCATCTCTTTTGAGAAATGGAGGGAAAAAACAGGGGTCCCTTCATTCAGACTCCTCACAATGGCCCTGTTGAAAGCTAGCACTCTGCAGGCCGACTGAGATCCCTTTTCTCTCTTTTTTTAACCCTACTAAAGCTCATAAAAGATACCGGCCCATTGCACACACAATTGATATTCCACCACTTGAACTTAATATCGTGAATGGTGGGCCAGGCTCTATGAATCAGGAAGACAATGCGCTTAGCTTAGCAGCAAACTGGCACTTTGTGTGCGGTGTCTGTGCCCCAGAGGAGGAAGTTTCTAATGTGAGCCTCACAATTGTGTGTCTATAGAGTTCTAATGAGCTTCTGTATGCTGAATGAATGGCTGCAGGCTATTCACTGTGAGGACCCAATGAGCCAGCTCACTGCAGACATTCACAATAGGATCCAGGGGGAATGGGAGTGGCTGTGTGGAGCCACTGCGCGGGATAGACAGCCTATAAAAGATCAGCATGGGTACAACTGTGTTTTGATTAAGTGTATGTCCATATTAAATTGGTTACATTTAAAAATAGTTTAAATCTTTGCTTCAGTCCTCCATTGGCATTGTTTGTCACCCAAAAAAAATGCCAGCGTGTTCTACTGTGTACTGAGAAAATTGAGCTTTTGCAAAACAAAAGTATGCCTTATTAACATCTGGTTAATAAGGCATATTACATTAGATCACAGCCAAACTGTGTAAAACATTTCATATCATTGTGATTTAAGTTTAGTAACTACTACTGCTGTAAGTAGCTGCTACTTATTTCTCCATAGGCATTTGGAAGCTGCTGTCAGCTAATATGCAAAGACACAAAACCTAGCAATAGTAAACAAACTGTTTCACTTTTTCCTCTTTGGCACATGTTCATAGAGACAATTGAAATATTTTATTCCAAGAACTATTCATAATTCTCTTTTCACTGTCTGTTGCACTGTGGTAGATATGTGGCAGATATCTGAGCAGTACCATTAAAGTATTACTGAATTCCAAATAGGTTATGTCACAACTAATCTAAAACAAAACCAGTGTCATCAGGATACACATAAACTTGTTTTTGGCCCCACTCATCACCAGGCCTAAACTGAACATTTAATCTTTGAACAATGTCCTTTAGTACATAGATTTATTTTTCTGACCATTTTACACTGTACTTTGTTCTTGCAGCAACTTTGTATTGCTCATATCTCACGTCATCTTGTAATTAGCCCCGGGATGGTCCAAGGGTGACACTGTCTGCCTGACCACAGTACTGCTAAGGTACTGTAGTTTGCAATTCGCAGCTATGATCACAAGGTGGCACTGAAGGAATGAGAATAATTTATATTTCAGTGACCTGATGGGGAGAATGAAATGGTTTTTAAACTATTTTTCTTAATGTAGCTTTGATTTAATATTGTCTCTGAGAATCTATGTATTTTTTCTGTAAGTTGTCTTAATGTGGAGAGGTGCTGTCGAAGCCTCCTGTGACCCAGACTCATTGAACAGCACTGACAGCAGAGCAGTGCAGAGATATTAGCTTCTAAAGGGTTTTGAGTGGGGTTAACCTCTAAGCAGTCAGCATTTTCATGTCTTGTATTTTCATAATGACAAATATCTGAAGACCTGGGCAGAGCGTGGCGGAGCATAGCAGATTGTAGTAGAGCATAGTGGAGCAGGGAGAGGGCATACTGGGAGGAGCAGAGTGGCTTGATTTAGAGTTTCATGCTAGCACTACCTTACGTGGCTTGATTTAGAGTTTCATGCTAGCTAGTGTAAGTTACATGTTGTAGCTTTAAGTGTCTGAGGTTATGGAAATATATATTGTTGCAATCTTGCAGTTGTTCCTCATTGCTTTTTGTGCTGTTGTAGATTTTGCGAGTCCTAGTGGGTAAACTCTGTTTTCATTCGTTTAGTCATATTTTTTTTTTACATTTAAATCACTGATGGTCATTATGTTAATGAATGTTAAACATTCCTGAGCAAACAAGTATACTGACTTGTTAGCATATTTTTTTGAATAATTCATAAATGTCAGATTTGAAAGACAGGCAAGGTCAATATAACATGGAATTATGCAACAAATAAATCCATGGAGATCCCCTGGCTAATAATATGGCCAGTTTTATTCTGCAGTTCAGTCACATCCTGGCACCCATACTGCAAGCGATTCTATTTGGTCTGTGGCATTAGTATGTCTATATCTGTGCAGTTATGGCTAAAATGAATAAGCCCTTCAGTGCTTTGTAATACATCACCCATCTGGATCTTTTTTCAAGACTTCCACAGTTACTCTGTCATTGCCTTGAGAGATTCGGTGTGTGTGTGTGTGCGTGCCCATGCATGCACTGCGGGAAAGAGGTGTGTGTTGGCACCATATGCATTTATTACTTTTCATTCTTGACTGGGCGCACGCTTTAATGATTCTTATTTTCCTGATGGCACTTTAGGAAATGACAACTTGTGGGCAATACAAAGTAATTACATTTCCTGTGTCTGGACCCAGAAGAAATCTAGTGTTATTAATAATGAATGGAGGGTTGGAAGCACTGTCATGTAGCAGATGTGACACTCTGCCACCGCTCTGAGAGCCACTGCCTGCCTTTATTTTACTGACGGTAGTCTCCATTAGCCTCACACTCTGGACCTATGAACAAGCTATCTGAATTGGAGACAGATGAGGAGTTATTTGTCAAAATATATCTGTTTTGCATGAATAATAATGAAAACAACATGTTTTAGCATTAGTGAAAACTGTATCGAAGAGGAGGCAGACTGGAAAAACAAATATGGTGGTGTTAATCTGGGGTTCTTAGGAAGGA